CGGTTTTTTTTTCTGCCCACCAATGCCTAGCCCACGAACAGGTTTCTCCAGAACACAATTCTTCTTCTTCCTCGGGCACGAACCCAATTGCGCGACAGGCGCATAACTTCACCTCCACCGTTGCCTGCTTACTGGCACTTGATTCCGCTGCCTCGGTCAATGCTCTGAGTACATCGTAAATTCAAAATATTATTGCTCACCTAAGCGCACGGCTCCACCAACCACACTCCACCATCTCGCCAGACAGCTTCTCTCCTCCCACCAATCACGCTACTTCTGATCTTCACGCGACAGGTATATCATTCAAACCCTTCTGCCTTTCTAGTTTTACACACACACTTACCTCTAAATGCTGGATTATTGACTCTGGAGCCACACATCACATATGTTGCACACCCACCCTATTCATAACCCTTAAGCATGTTGAACTCATCCTAGTCACTTTACCAAATGGTAGTTCAGTGCTAGTAACTCAACTTAGAAATGTGCTCCTCACCGACACCCTAACCCTACATAATATTCTATTTATCCCTCATTTTTCCTTTAACCTTGTTAGTGTAAGCATGTTGACCACCACCCACAACTGTACGGTTAATTTTTCACTTCATTCTTATGTCATCCAGGACCACACTCAGGACTTGTTGATTGGGAAGGGTAGACGCATTGGCAACTTCTACTACTTAATTACTAGATATTTTCATTTTTTCGCTGTTAATTCTGTTTCTGCTAGTTCTAAAAGTAGCCTGTGGCATTTTAGAATGGGTCATCCTTTCTATGTAAAACTTCAGTACATTAATAAAGATTTACAGACTTTAACTATTTCTCAATGCAAAATTTGTCATTTGACTAAACAACATAAATTGCCTTTTGTTTCTAACAATAAATTATCTGATCATGCATTTGATTTAATCCATATTGACATTTGGGGTCCTTTTTCTACACCGACTATCGAGGGATACAAATACTTTCTTACCATTGTTGATGATTGCACTCGCACTACTTGGGTGTATCTTCTTCGTCAAAAGTCGGATATTCTTACCATCTTTCTT